ATCGAAACAGAACAGTATCAGAAGAGGTCAGCCCCATCATCTACACAATCACCGTAGTGTGATCAAAGCAGGTCAAGAAACACTGACTGTCAACCGTCGAAGCGATCGCGATTCGGTTGAACAACCCCTATTGTGCGTTCTAAAACAGCCAGTCAGAGCTCTGGATTTATCATGACCAGCCGCAAACGCTAGAGTGACACAAAGCCTGTTACAAAACCAGCGTCCAATCGTTTAAGCATTTGATTCATTAGACAATACACATGACATTGGCAAAGTGACTGAAATTCCCATGCCCCTCCCCCTATACCATTAGCCATACACACAGACGACATTTAACTTTTTTCTGTTTCCTTGACTCATTTTATTCCGCGACCTATAAAAGAGGCACCAAAAATGAGCTTGTTCGCCAATTCGATGCAGTCCGTGAATATTTTTCAGTATTCAGTAAGACTACTTTACTGCGGCTGGTCCCTTGGAAAGGATAACGGAGATTCAGGCATGATCATGAAGCTCCCTGGGAGTTTGGTACGAGAGACGTCCCCAGCGTCACTCGGCGTTTTTTATTTCGATGGCACACCTAGAGCCCTTGCACAATCAAGTGCAAACTGCAAGGCAGCGGGAAGTAATCCCTCGTCGCGGAAGTGGGGAGGTCAATGACTTTAGTTTTAAAAGGCCAGTCACATCGACCTTTGTCACGACACCGTCATTGGGCTTATGCGGCTTGCAACGAGGAGCCAGGTGATCAGCCTGAAACCCACTACACCTTGGTAGTGCCGCCACTGTTTGTTCGCGACTGCTTATTTGTTGCGGTATGCCACAACTTATTTACAGCTAGCCTTCCTGAGCGAAGGTATCTCTCTATCCACAACCCGGGGACGCGCGCAGTAGCATTCAGCTCTGCTGAACCCGAGGGTATCCAGGATTCAATAAGAGGATGTAAAAAGATTAGTATTATTAAAGACGTCGTGGATTACCACGTACCAGCATATTTATATGATTGCACATTGAACCCCTACGGATCCCATAAACGGCGACGAAGTAGCTCACAAGAGCCGCAGCAGGGTCAGGGAGGGTGTCTCGGGTTTTGCCTGGTCATCATTCCGTTACACCTCGCGAAATGTTCCCCTGCAACCAAGCATCTCAAATAGCCTCTACTGAGGAAGCCCTACTCACTGCCTTCTCGTGGGCGCCGCGTTTTCCTACCCAAATGGGAGGACGAAAATCCGACATTCAGGACTATAATCGGGTTGGTGGACCAATGNGTACGAACCACACCCACACCTTTCCGATTGTGACAGTGGTCACTTGCTCAATCGGGCACCTTCGATGTTTGACCCCATCCAACGGGCGTATGATTAGATGAACTGGACACCGGCTCCCAATGGACTGCGGACTCTAAGCTCCGTCCTGTTGTCTTGCAGGTCTGGCTTTCGAGCCAAAGGTTCGGACGGGTAGCCTGAGGCTATGCCCCTTCCTCGGTCAGGGCAACCGGGAAGTAACATGCTCACACAACCTATGAACACATTCTACAGATTTCTTTTTGTTGTGACGCATTTGCCAATTTTCTATAATTGGTTACGTGTTGAATAATAATCATACCACATTGGGTCCGTTGGATTCGACTGTGTGGTTTGGTGCAAATAAAAACCAGTTTCTAATGAATGAACGACCCCGCCTCACCTTCGGATACGGGCTGTTGATTCTCACTGCAAGGTTACTATGTTTCGTGACTGATTTTGGAGATGCACCTGGCTAGATAGAGAGAAAGAAGTCAGAAGTATTTCTCATTGCACTTATCAAAGGACCCGATTAGATTCACCAAGTTGATAGTATCGTGTTCGTCCTTTTTCGTTCTTCATCAAATTACTTGGCTGGCATAGTGCAATACAAGGCGAACTCTGTGTGAATAAAATTCGACTGTGCAGCATCAGGTCTCCTGATCTATCGACATTCTTTGCGTGACAGCCAGGTGGACTCGGACCGAGCACAGATCATTATCTGGGTGTATGAAATCCGTGCACATATCACGATCGCATCTAACCAGAAACGTGACCAAAAGCTAGTTTCAGAGAGAAGCAACCAGATTAGACAATGCCAGGAAGTTAAATGTTCGGAACCGCAAAGTAGGGTGTGATCACACGCGACTTATACGCACACACACAAGCGCACTCGACTGATTGCGATCAGGAGACAAAGAGTGCATTACTTTCTATGGTGCACATTATTTTTGTGTGACAAACAACATCGGGTGAGCTGTTTGGTTACAGATGTTTAAATATTGTTCAGTTTTTTCGACCCAAACTATGGAGTTTGCAGTAGCGAGGCCCCAGTGGCCTTGTGACGGATGACAACGAAACTATGCACCAACAAATTTCAATGACAGGGACAGGTGGCATCCCGGATATTTCTTTTCACACACGTCTGAGTTCAGACTGTGCCAAACAAATCATGACAAAATAATCATTATAAAGAAGAAAAGCGTTCAATGATTTGCATGTGGGCGGAATACTGCCAGGTTGCCCAGGCCCAGGCCGAGGCACGTGAATTTGCTTGAGGAATCAACAACCGGAGTCTTCGGCTAACCAAAACCTGACCCGCAAGGCAGCGGGGCGGTGTGAAAACCGCAATCCATTGGGGACCGGTGTCCAGTTCATCTAATCATACGCCTTTCGGACGGGGTCAAACGTTCAAGATGCCCAATTGTGCCAGTGACCACTGCCACAATCGGAAAGGTGTGGGTGTGGTTTGTACACCTCTTCTGGGTTGGTTTGGAATCAGGGTTTTTGGCCAACTCTCCTAGGTGAGCTGCCAGTGGTCTACCAACCCGGTTATAGCCCCGGATGTCGGCTTTTCGTCCACTCACTTTGGTGAGGAAACACCTCCGCCACGAGAAGGCAGTGAGTAGGGCTTCCTCAGCAGAGGCTATTTGAGACGCTTGGTCGTATGAGAGTATTTCGCGAGGTGCAAGGGACGGGTGACCAGCCACAACCCTAGACACCCATCCCCGATCATACTGAGGCTTTTGGAGGCAACCCGGAACTATGCAGTCACAGCGATTCAGGCCACTGGACGGTTACCGCCATTTAGTAAGCGATTCATGTTCCAAGAGAATAGAAACCACGTTCGACTTTGCGTAGGTAATTACTCTGATCTGATCAAGATTGAGGGCACCTGCTGACGGGTTTCCCATAAGACAAGACAAATCAAAGACAACAGTCCCGCAAGTGCTCCTAACCAATCGCGAAGGATGAGGTTATCGAGTTCGGCACTTATTTATCCAGATTAAATCTTGCTGCAACCGTAATACCTCCCAGTCTACTTTTACGGAACGTCTAAAGGCTCGTGAAAGCGCTCAGTCCGCAAGCTGTACAAAGCCAAAAGCCGTGGGAAACACTTTCCAACCTTTTTCACAGAAGTGAATCACCGAGTAGGTTCACAATTATACCTTCAAGTGTGGGACAAACCTTTTACTGAATGTCTGCATTATGGAGTATTAATCCGCAGAGTTGTAGTGGTTTAACTACTCAATTAGCAGTCATGGAGAAGCTTTGATTCACTGGGTTCGAATCCTGCCACTGCTACTCAACTTTAGTGCTTAGTAGCTCTGGTACTGGCAGCTGGATACCACGCATATCTTATTGAGGCTTAATTAAGTCTAACACTGAGTCGCAGGATCGAGGTTGTCAGTTATCATGAGTGACCAGTAGGTAATCATTGCTTTAGGGTTTACATCCTCTGTTGTCTACCACGCAGTGACTAATGTTGGTACTGCCAATCATGCACAGTATTTTTTTGATTGGAATCGATCGTGTACATTTGACTTAAACGAGCAAATAGTTTCCGTCTTACCAAGTTTCCTCACCCCCAACCGTCATATCTATACTATACGCAACTTCAGACTGTAACTACCCGGGGATTGTCTAATTCTTGGAAGCGCTTTTCCCTGTAATTATTGACTCGTTAGATTTCAACACTGCGCGACATTTATGAAATAAAATTAAAGCTTTATTGGACTCCCAAACCGATTGTAAAGTAGAGCGAGAGAGAAAGCATCAAACCAGATACACTAAGTGATCCAAGATAAACCTATAAAGTTAGGGAAAAAGTACAATAAAGAGATAGGAAAAAGGGCGGGGGTGTTGAAGCCGTGTGCACAGCCATCGTGGGAATAGTCATGGATTAACTATCACAAGATGCAAAAAAATAGAAATCGAGCGGACGAGATTACGCGGACAACTCAGATCGGACTGGTTGGGCACCGTGGCCGGGGTGGAAATGAAAGCCCTGCTGGCAGTGAACACTCGTTTGTATACGGGACTGCGGAACAGATAGAGTAGGGATTAGCGAGAGCAGTAACCGCTTTGCTTTTTTTAAAGAAAGGATTCATGACACGGGAACCGAATTGAACCGGGGCAGAGTTCGACCAACAACTCGAATCGGATGAGGTGTAAAAAGCAGCCACGGAGTAGTCGGGAGAACTGGGGTCAGATTCGCATAAAATCCTCGGAACTGACCACATGGAATTCCACCAGCAATGAGCCTTTCACGCGAACAAATCGTTCATCCTTGGTATCANGGTATCACGACCGTACAGTGCCATTTGTTGTTGTCCTGGCTGATTGATCTCGGTCTCTTTGAAACTGTGTCGACCGAGGAAAAAATCGAATCCCATAGTTCGTTTATCCATAATCTGACGAACACAAGAATGCGACAGAAAAAGACGGTGGGAGACAGGAACGGCAAAATAACGTAGTCGAAATATGTGAGGGACGTTGTTCTTAGAGATGATGAATGTACACAGGGGACACCCGTTAAAACCATGTTTTCAGACTAGCTGTACATCAGATCAAGAAGGCAATCAAAAAACCTATTAGTTGACAGCTTTAGACAACGACGAAAGTTCAACAACTTATGCGGTTGCATGTGCTTTGGAGTCTCCTCCAGTACCGGAACTTCCGATAGTGGTGACCTTTCGTACTCAGGGACCCTATGAAACAACAAACACTTTTAGGTCTTCAGTATCATTACCACCAGCGCTTCATTCAGATATCAGATTCCTTGTAGCTACCTTTAACCCCCCCCCATAAAATTCGCTTTTTTGTTACATACCATTGTGTGGTGAACAGCACACGGGGCGAACCCCTTAGTCACGAAGATCAGCTGCTCCGTCATGGAAACCGGCAACCTAAGCCCGGGGCCTGGAGTGGCGAACCACATAAGGCCTCGATAGGTTAGGCGTGGTATTGAACCGGACGATAGCAAAGCTGCCTAACACCAAAGTCGGGTGGCGAGGCTCGAACCTCGGACCATCGTCCGAGTGTATTGTGTTGTTTATGAGGCCGACCTATCCACAAACAGGAAACAGTGTAAAAGTAGTTTGAAAATTGCTAACCATTTCGAGCCCTCTTCCTAGTTATGAGCGCTGATTCAAAAATAGGGCCTAGCGGAATTTCGATTCAGAACAGTTTAGTTCTTCATTGATTTAACTGACGTGTAGCTTGTGAACGCAGAGGAAGTTTTATCTCTCCTTGTTTTTTTTTGGATCGCATTGAAGCCTTGGGGCTTTATGTGTATAAAATCCCAAGGAATGTGGTCATACCACGACCAGGAAGAATCGTTGGTTTCAAACGCCAAATGAAACTAGACGAATACTCATATCAGTATGAAACTGCCTTCACCGATTTTTGGATGCTCTCAACAGATATGCGTTGCATTACATTCAACAAGCGATCTATAGGCGCGTCAAGCATGAAGTGTGCAATGCTTTTCCCTAGGTCATTTTTACATGTGGGTCCCGGGTCAGTTGAATGAACTGATTTGCTTTCAAGTTAAAAACAAAACAGATAATTTATTTGCTCTATGCACAATAACAAACACAAGGAGTAGAAAAGAAAAGCCACTTAGAAAGATTTCTAGTCGGATAAAAAATAGTTAGCTGATCAGAACACAATTCGAATACCCCACGGAAAATAATCATGTATTGATTTCTTTGTTACACTAATATTTGAGTTGGTTGACGCAGTATTGAACTGGACACAATCCAGAAATATGAAATATGAACATCCGCAGAAACAAACTACCCCCTAATCCGATAGAATATGGTGCCTCCCGTCCACCCCAAAAAACAATTGCTAATCCCTCATCCATTGTATCAAAGATAATTATGTGAACCAGTCAAGGCTTGCAACCCTCGTGTGCTCATTATGAAATTTGAAGAACGTACACTGAACAAAGTCTGCAAAAATGGATATAGGAAAACAGACGATAGACTTTATGGAATATTCGGTGCGCTCATTTTCATTGTTAAAAGTCTAGTTAACTGTAATACATAAATTATTACATTAATTACATTTATGTACATAATCATGTGGCTAATGTTTTTCAAAACATTTTCATGACTATCACTTGTTAGACAGTGAGTTAGCTTGCTGGAAGTTGTGGATGACAGCTTTCCACGCATGGCAGTTGGTCGTAAGGTCGGTNCGAGTGGTGATGAGTTAACTGCAGTTTCAGTTCTGCCTAGAACGAATCATTTGACCTGTTTATTCGACTATGTACTCCCTGGGCTTTGCATAACCTAGTGCGAACCACAAAGTGGTACAGCAATATGCAGGAGAAACGTTTTCAATTGTCGGAAAGTATCCCCCTCAATCTGGTTTGTATTTCATACACGTCAAAATCCAGACTGCGAGCCAAACACATTATAGTACAATAGTCTTTATAAAAATGAGAAAGTTTCACGATTTGTTTGTGGGCGGAACACTGAAAAGTTATCCGGGCCAAGGGAAGTGAATGTGTGAAAACCGTAATCCATTGGGGGCCGGTGTCCAGTCCACTGGATCATACGCCCTTTGGACGGAATCAAACGGTTAGAGTGTCTAACACACCTTGATGCCCAATCGAGCCGGTGACCACTGCCACAACCAGGAAGGTGAGTGGGTGCGATTGGTGGGCCTCTTCTTGGTTAGTTTGGAATCAGGGATTTTAGCCAACTTCCCTAGGTGAATCGTCAGTGGATTTTGGCTTTTCGTCCTCTCACTGTGGTGGGAAAACACCTCGGCCACGAGGCAGTGAGCAGGGTTGTTTGAGACACTTGATAGCATAGAACCATTTCGTGAGGTGTAAGGGAAGGGGGCCCAGCTACAACCTAAGACATCCACCCCGACTATAGTGAGGCTTTTGGCCTAGTCCACCCGTTTAGCGGTCTATCGAGAATAAGGCCACCGTTCAGAGAGGAATGGTTTCTGGAACCAGAAGGCGAAAGTTCAGCGTTAGGTGAATACTGAAAACGTCCCCAATAGGCACAAAAGACCTACATTCCGTCATCTAACAACCCCTTGGACCAAAATCACGAAAACTGGACACCATTCAATTGGGCACTAGGTTGCGTGATAACCCGGGGGAATTTAAATAAATAATTCAAGCCAACAAACAGGACTCTAGTACAGTTGCATTCTCGATCCCTGAAAGCCAGTCAGGGTCTCAGTGTCAACCTGATTTTGCCGACGGCAAGAATAACTGCACAAAAGCAGATCAGACTTACCACAATGGTGATTGGGACCTTTCCTGGACGTCGACGATAGAACAGAAACACCTCATCCCAAATCGGATTGTTTGTTCCCGTTCGAGTCACAGTCCGAACCGGATTGTCCTCACTGTTCACAATGCAATAAGGCGAGGGGGGATTCTTACCATCCGGCCAGAGCAAATTGTCCGCGCTGAAGATGTGCAGTCGAACGGCTTGTTTGAACGCACCATGAAAGAAGTCCAGTCCGGTGCTCGGAGGCACATCCAGCATCAATTCGCTGAGGCAAAATAGTGCCAGAATGGGGTTTGGATTGCATAATTAGAATAACTAGGCCAGCATTTTGCATAGATTGAATAATACAAGGATTTGACAAGCAATTTCTTGAATTGTGGGATTTTCCCTGAACCAGAAGCGAAGAATTTACCGACCCGTAAAAAAGCGAAGACTCTATTAGAACGGATTGGTTAAAACATTATTACGGACATCACCATCACAAACACGCGCCCAAACGAAGATATTATTTTATATTTATATTAATTTCACACGTCTGAGGCCAGACTGTGTGCCAAACAAATAATGGTACAATAATCTTTATGAAAAGGAAAAGCGTTCCACGAATTGCACGTGGGCTGAATACTTCCAGGTTGCCCAAGCCAGGACAAGTGATTTTTCTTGAGTAATTCACAACCGAAGCCTTCGGCTAGCCAAAACCTGACCCGCAAGGCAGCGGGGCAGTATGTGAAAACTGTAATCCATTGGGGACCGGTGTCCAGTTCATCGGATCATTCGCCCTTTGCACGGGTTTAAATTTCTAAGGTGCTCAATACACCTTAATGCCCAATCGAGCTGGTGACCACTGCCACAACCAGGAAGGTGTGTGTGCAGTTTGTACGCCTCTTCTTGGTTGATTGGGAATCAGGGCTTTTGGCCAACTCTCCTAGGTGAACCACTGGTGCTTCACTAACCCGGTTATAGCCCTGAATGTGGGCTTTTCGTCCTCCCACTTTGGTGGGAAAACAACGCGCCCACGAGAAGCAAGTGAGTAGGGCTTTCTCAGCAGAGGCTGTTTGAGACGCTTGGTCGTACGAGAGCATTTCGCAAAGTGCCCGGGAAGGGTGACTAGCCGCAACCCTACACATCCATCCCTGATCATATACTGAGACTTTCGGAGAGTGCAATTAGTTGACAGCCAGACTGTGGTAATGTGAATCGTTCGACTCCCGTCGTTACTAAACCGGTGAAAACGAAATGACAATTACTCAAGGACGACTGGTGTACGTGACCAATGCGAGCGATCAAGGAAGCAGGCGAAATGAAACGCGGTGCTATCAGTAATGTGTGTGTGTGTGTGTCTAAGCATGGTGCACGTAAACCAAAGCAGCGAATAGCTGGCAGAAAGGATTTAGAGTGTGAACGTGGTCGACACCAAAGTGGAACAGTTTCAGTTAGTACAACCATTTAACCTTGCACTTTCGTGCGTCGGTTTGGGTTGCTGCCTTTTGACTGCCCATTTGGATGAAACATTAGGGGAAAGACAGGAAAGTTGAAAATAGTTTTTTTAATTACACACTACTGTGTGATAAACAGCAGACCCCATAGTCACGAAGACCTGCTGTGTAGTGATTTTAACTGGTAACCTAAGCCCCGGGATTTGGAGTGGCGAACCACATAAGGCCCCGCTAGGTCAAACGTGGTATTTAATCGGACAACAGCAAAGCTGCCTACCACCAAAGTTGAATGGTGGTGGCGGGGGTCGAACCTCGGACCACAGGGTCTAAAGCATGCCGGTGAGAGCGACTAAACCACTGCGCCACCAATACCCTGAGAAGCGAAAATGGAGAACT